CTAGGCATAAACTGGTGTGGTAGAACACACCAGTGACCCCAGAACTCAGAAAGAGGAGGCAGGAGGATTTGGAATTCAAAGTCATCTTCCTTTACACAGCAATGTCAAAGCCAGTGGAGGCTCCCTGAAGCCCTGTCACAAATAATTAACAATGAACAACTCATGGGATTCTAGAGAGAGCAAGTTGGGCCACCTTTCAGCCAGACCCCTGGCTGTCTGGGAGACAGGGGTATTTCCCAGGAATGAGAGAGGATGGCAGAGATTCCAAGTGAAAAATGTTCCTACACTCCAGTCTCCCTCAAGGGAACACCGTGGCAGGGTGTGGGAGAGCAGGAGCCCAGCCATGCATAAGCATGTCATAAGGAGGGGAAGATGGATGGAAGGAACACAGGTATTTGGGGCAGGATCCGGCTGGAAAAACAGGCAGGGACAGCTCAAAGCCATTGCCAGTCACCTCTCCTTGATCTGATCCATGGAGGTAGAACCCTGAATCCACAAGGCCAGAGGACTGCATCAGCCAAAGGCTGGGAAAGGGCCGGGTGTGCGATAAAGCCGGGTTTCGTTGAAAGCCTCCCTCTTGTGCTTGGCAATGCTGTGGATGGAGCCTGGGGCCTTGCTCATGTTTGGCAAACATTCAACCGCTGAGCCCTAGCCTAGAATATCTCCTCTAACCCTACGTGTGTGTGTGTGTGTGTGTGTGTGTGTGTGTGTGTGTGTGTGTGTGGTGTGGTGTGCACACATGCATGCATGAGCATGTATGTCTAGGAGTGCGTGCAGAGCCCAGAAAAGGGCACCAGGTGTCCTCTATCAACCTTCTGTTCCTTTGAGGCGGGGTCCCCCCTGAACCTGGGGGCTCTGGTTTTCTCTGCTAGGCTGGAAAGCTCTGGTGATCCCCCTCTCCCCCTCCCTCTCAGAGCTGGGATTCTAGGCATGCACAGGTCCTTTGCTTGTTACGTGGCTTCTGGGATGCTAACTCGGGTCCTTAGGACTGCGCAACAAGGGCTCTTAAAAGTCCAACCCCTGAACTTTTAATTTTGAGACAGGGCCTCAGTAAGTGTCTCAGCTTGGCTTCGAACTCACTCTATAATCCAGACTGACCTGGACTTTGGGATCTTCTTCTCCCTGTCATTTTTAGTAACCCGGATTACAGACCTGTTGCTACCGGGCTTGGCTTGAAGACCATTATCGCCATTGTATGATTGCAACCATTTTCCCTGGCGCCTTGTGCTACTCCACCCCACATGCACGGCATGGCCCGTGGGCGTGGCTAATCCCCTGGAGGGGTATTTGGGCTGAATCAGAAGCTGTCCCAGTTAAGAGTGTAGGAGTAAAGGTGGCACAGGGCCCTGTAGCTGGGGAACTCTGGGTTCGAATACCAGCCCTGGCGCTTATCAATGGCTGATTCACTCCTGAAGTTTCTGTAGTGCAGGGAACAACACCTAAGTCTGCGGTGGAGGGGAAGGAATGGGCTCCCAGGTGTTTGACAGGTCTTCAGAGCTGCCCACCTCTTACCCACAGGGCGTTCCTTGGTAGACCTGGGCTGGAGGGATCCGGAAGCCTAAGAGATACTTCCTCCTGGCCCTGTCACTGATTCACCTCAAGGGGAGGTGGGTGGACAGCAAACACACCCTGGGAGTCTCTCCCTCTTTTCTGCTTCTTGCCCAGTTTCAATAATAGAAAATTTGTTCAGAAGTCTCGACTTCCTGCCTTGAGGTCCACAGACATGGCTGCCTGAGGCGCCATCTGCCTATCCTGGTCCCGAGTCCTGTGTCTTTACCTGCGCGGTGACCATAAGGCCACAAGAGAAGCACAGCTCTGCCTCATGCCTTGTCTTCCCCATTCACACATCTCAGCCCTGGCTTTGTCACTCTGGCAGCAGCCCCCACGACCCTGATTCATCAGCCACTCGTAGTGAGACACAGTGTCGCAACCACAGACACACGTGCGTCTTTCCACAACAGATTCACAAGCCACAGCCCACAGGCAGTATCAGCACCTGTTGGTTTCATTGGCTGTAATGTACCGAGGAGTCCTAATTTCCCCTGGTAGCGTGGCCAAGGGCCATCACTTTATTCCGAACTGAAGTACTGACATTAGTGCTCGGTCACACTCCGTGCTTCAAACAGGGTACAGAGTGGCCGGGAGAGGAGTGAAAGAGGCTATGGAGCTCCAAGACCTTCCTGGAGGTAGAGGTGTGGGCAGGTGTGGACCCAGAGGCACTGCAGGTGGCCAGTGAAGAAACTCAGAAGCTGCTGGGCAGGGTGCTGGCAGCCCGCTGAGCCACACTGCTGGGCCAAGGCTTTGAGGCAGAGGCAAGACAAGGACCTGGAAGTAATTCAAGTTCTCTTGAGCCACTCATTAGCACGGCCAGAGAAGGTCTGAACTGTCAGGTTGCCCTCGTCTGTGGTGTCCAGGGGAGGGAGTGGCAGCTACATCCTTTCCAAGTCTGATGTATTCTATACTGTCACGGGCCCAATTTTTCTGTTTTGTCTGTTTGTTTTCCTTTGAGTCTCTTGCCCATGTTAGCTTTAACTCAATAAGTAGTCGAGGATGACCTTGAACTACCCTCCCCACCTTCCCCAGACAAGTTTCTCTGTGTAGCCCTGGCTGGCCTCAAACTCAGATATCCTCTTGCCTCTGTCTCCCGAGTGCTGGGATTAAAGACATGCGCCACCACTGCCCAGTGACCTTGAATTTCTAATCCTCCTGCCTCTACCGCTACAATACTGGGATTACAGGTGTGCACCACCGCACCCCATTTTATTTGTTGGTGAGGGTTGAACCCAGGGCTTCATACTTGCTAGGCAAGCACTTTACTGTATGAGCTACGTCCTCAGCCCCACTAATGTTGATATGCTGATGTGCCCACTGCTTTCCGACTTACCTTGGCAAGTTCATATGCTTGAATAAGGTACTTGTCATTCTGCGCTTTGTGGGTCTCGCTGAACAGGTGGCAGTGTCTGTGTGCACAGTGAGATTCTGCCATCCCGCCTCAGCATGTGCTCAAAATAGAGGGAGCTGCTACTTGGTAAAAACATGGAGTACTCCACACAAGGCACAGCCCCAAAGCTGATGTCTGCAGACCATTAGGTGCCGGATCTGCACATCTTCTCAGGGACAACTAAATTCACGGTAGTCTGAACCAACCAGGGTACCCCTACTCTCTTTAGCCCGCTCAAGCTCCTGGACGCCAGTCTCTAGGGAAAGCTGGCTGCAAGGTGGAAGAGACAATATCACCGTTCTGCCTTGAGGTCTGGAGGACTGTGGCTGCAATTGGAGCCGTGGGAAGCCTTCCTGGGAGGAAAACTGGAACAGTAGGTGAGGGTGGTCCAGCAACGGGCAGGGAAGAAACCATGCTCTGAAAACATCATCAGGCCACCCAACAGCTAAGCTGAGAGCCCCACACCCACCTCACTCCTGATTTCCAGCCTCTCTTCCCTCTCCCTCTTTCTTTTTTTTTTCCGAGATAGGCTGTCATGTAGCCCAGGCTGGCTCAATGTAGCTGAGGATGACCTCAAACTTGTGATCTTTCTGCCTCTGCCCACTGAGTGCTGGGGTTACAGCCATGCACCATCTCTCTTATGCAGTGCTGCAGACAAAACTCAGGGTTTCCTGCATGCCCTCAGGCACTGTGCTCAGAGTTTCGTGGACACTAACAATACTGAGCTCACAGACCCTACTTCCTGTTTTCCGCTCTACCTTACACACAAGGAACGGAGGAATCCCTCAGTAATGTGATTCTAGTTTTGAATTTGAATTTGTTATCTTCAATACCATCCTGCCAAGTCTGGAATTCTTTTTTACTAGACTTTAAAAATAAATGAACTGGCAGTTTTTAGTGCATTGTAGACCCTGTCTCCAGCATACACAACTTCCTGTTCTCAGGGTCCCCCACTAGAGAGGGTATTTTGGCCATGAAAACTTGAACCCAGAGCCTATTGCTGGGAAGTCTTTGTACTCTGCCTTGCTATCGTTTTGAGAAAACTGCTCCGTCATTCACTGCGGTGTGTCACAGGCTGGAGGGTGTGGGTGGTTCTAGGTGCCTCAGCCCTGTGGCTGGAAACACAGCTAATCACACAAGGATGACAGATGTTCTCTGAAACAGTTGTTACCAGGCAAATACCAGCTCAGGTCTGCCACACGATCCCTTTTGTCATGTTCTGTTTCCAGCCCTATACCAGCTCAACCAACCATGGGGACCTCTGCAATCCCAGTAGCAGGGTGAACGTTTGAGCCAAAAAGGCTACCTTTCCAGTGGAATCACCCCTCCAACCCCCACCACCCTTTCCCTGCGAAAAAGAGCCATCCTTGTTCAGATGGGAGGCTGATCTTCTCTTCTCCTGATTCCACCACCAGTGGCTACAGCAGCAGCTCTGGGTTTTGTAATCAGGTCCATGGTTCTGGGAGGCAGGAAGAACACAAAGACAGTGCGCTCTCCTGTGTCCTGTCTGCCATGTGTCTCCCTAGAGGCGGGACACGAGTCAGGGGTTCTTGTACTAGTGGTTTACTTTGGAGGGACTTTCCAGGGAACCAGGGAAAGACACCAGGCCCGGGTAGAGATGACCTGCTGGGACATCTCACCATTCTGGCCTCGGGGGCACGTGGCTGTTATACCATCCAGACAGTTCAGTACAAAGAAGCCCTCAGAACTAGGGAGTAGGACCAGCCCAGTAGGGCTTCAGAGGAGGGACCCTGAGCCTACACTGCAGCAGGAGACCCCAGAGACAGCACAAATAGACAGGAAGCAGTAGGTCAGGCCCTGAACCTGGAGCAACAAGATTGCATCTTGCCCCAGACCTCAAGTCCTTGGTGGTGGAGGCTTGGCTCCAGGAGGCTACCTGGGCACCAGGTGCCAACTGAATCCAAGATGGGGCTGGGGGCCACACAGCCTAGCTGGGGAAAAGGACACAGGGCCAGAGGGCTGGACTCTGAACACATACGTGAGGTTTATCCTCAGCCCAGGAAGAACAGAGTTTGAAAGAAGAGCCACAGACAGAAAAATCAATAAGGTCCTTTATAGCAGAGAAGCACCGAGAGAAATTCCTCAAGGCCAGAACCTTTCGCAAGGAGGGCATTAAAAGCCAGCTGGTCTGGGAGACTAGACACTGGGGCGGGAGACAGCAGGTCCTGCAGGACTTCAGTGCTTGAGATGCCCTGGAACAGGGTGACATCCAGGGGACAGTCCGTGGGCTCCTAGCATGTGGGAGTGTGGCCCGTGCAGCGGGGCCGCCAGTAGTAACGCAGGCGCTTGTTGTAGCTGTTCAGGTTTTGCTTCAGGCACAAGGCCACCTCCTTGTCACAAGCACACAGCTCCCTCTCGCACCAGCTCCCTTTGTCAGCTGCAGGTGAAAGAAACACGGATGGTTCAGTATCTGTCCCCTCCTGAGACTGCCTGTTGGGGGGGGTCCTGAAATCAACACAGGGTCCCTGCTCATCTTTGGTGATGCCCCCACCCCGCCCCGCCCCCAAACGGCTGCTTTAGTTGCACGGTGCACACGTCTTCCTCCTCCCCGTGCTCTTGCACCGTCACCTATTTTCACACTCATTCACCAGACAATCACGGAGCAGCTACCAGGAGGCGGGTCCTGGGGGCGAAAGCTGAACCAATGGGCAGGTGGGAAGGCAGGAGGTCCAGGGCCACAGAATGAGCAAGCAGACGGTGCCAAGCCAAAGCACGGGAGATGCAGGCCTGGCAGGAGGGCCAGGCAGTGTCAAAGAGCCATCCCAGCTCCTGCTGAAAGCTGGGGCAGCAAGCGAGCGTCCCTACAGGGTGAGCATCTGTGTTAGCCTCTACAGTTCCATTAACCTTAAGGTGAGCTGTTATTGGGTCCAATAGTGGTAAAAAGGAGAGGCCATCACAGGGATACCTATGTGCTCCCCCATGAGAATGAGAGTGGCTAGCATCCCCCTGAAGTTCTTCCTGATGGCTTGGCTCAGCAAACTACCAAGAAGGACACTGAGTTTCAGAGACATTAAACAGTGTTGAACGCGCAGAGGGTCACTGATGGGTCACTTCTGGATACCAAAAGGGTGGGATGTCCCCTTAGCCCTCTCCACACCCCTACTCTGTTCCTGCCTGACCCCACTGCCCACGAGAGAGCAGTAATACCACTGGGCCTATGGAGGCAGGGAGGGCTAGGCCTCCCCAGCTTCAGTCCTTGGTCCTCAGACACTCACAGCACTGGATAATGCCCTGGGAAATGCTGTATTTGTAATTGTCTGTCATGATCCTGCATCCGTCAGTCTTCAGGTGGGTATAGCAGCAATCATGCTTGTGACAGCACCTACAAGGACAGGCAGGCAGGGCACACAACTGTAGGAGTCACTAGTCAGCTCTGGTTACTGCCTGCTCCCCCCACATGCCCTCCAGGGGCGAGTGACATTTGGGTTCCCTTGAGGTCCCCACAGCTGCTATTGGTCAAGGGCTGCCATACACCAGACACCTATTCCAGCCACACACTCTCTCTCAATCCCCATGACTACCCCATGATGGAGATGCCGGTATCATCCCCATTTCACAGATGAAGAAACATAATTCTGGGGCTTGAGATGCTTGGCAAAGGTCATGTGACTTCCTTGGCTGACTCTCCAAATGATTGTGAAAAATCAATTGAGAAAACACAAGGAGGTCGGGTTTCAGAGTACCACGTACAGTGATAACAAGGAGTGAGGAAAATTAGACCCAGGTTAGGTCGGGTGTCAGAGTACCACGTACAGTGGTAACAAGGAGTGAGGAATATTAGACCCAGGTTAGGGAGATGTCAGGACTTCAAGGAACTCTGGGGAACCTTCGGGAAGGCCAGTTCTAAGAGGAATGGGACTATATTAGCACTCAGCAGAGTTCCTAGAATGTAGTACATGCTCAATAAAATGTGTTTTCTAGATGAATCAGTGAACATAGAAGGAAGGAAAGAGTCCTAAGTATACCAGAGAGGGGACTTTACCAGTCTGTGGCATCTTTGGGTCCTCCTTTGCCACCAAGTCCACAGTGACAGCCATAGGGCCAGTAGTTGAAGAAGGCTATCTTCCCGGTCACACGGTTGATCATCTTGTTCAGGTTCAGGAGCCCTCCCTGGGTTGGAGTCATACCTGTCAAACATCCAAACAAAGAGGACAGGAGTGAAGGTCATGGAGGTACCGGGAGGGATCCCACTGAGTGTGGGGTGGAGCTCAGCTGTGCTGGGCCAAGCAAGGGACTAGAAATGATGGTATTATCAAATAGTGACAACTGCTCCCGGTAGTTAAAAAAGTGTTGGTTAAGGGAGTGTAGCTTGTGATGGAGGGCAAGCTTCACATGTTATCAGCCCTGAGCTCTGTGCCCAGAACTGAGAAGGCAAGACAAAAAATACAGCGACTGGAACTGAGTCCTTAGTGACAGATCTTTCATGTATTAGTTTGATGATTCCTCCCTTTTGAAAGGTTTGTTATTATTATTATTTTTAATTTGTGTGTGTGTTTGTGTGTATGTGTCTGTGTGTGTTTATGTGTGTGTGTGTCTATGTCTCTGTGTGTATGTGTTTGTACATGTCTGTGTGTGTTTCTGTGTGTTTGTACATGTCTGTGTGTGTTTCTGTGTGTATGTCTATGTCCGTGCCTGTGTGTGTTTGTGCGTAGAGAGAAGAAAGGACAGCCTAATGTATTATCTTGGGGAACGCTGTCCACTTGCCCTTGAGACCAGGTCTATCATTAGCCTGGAGCTCACCAATTAGGCAAGGCTGAGCCCAGCAATCTCTGCCCCATCTGGTACTGAGCTTGCAAGCTGCAAGCACATGCTACCACATCTGGCATTTCCCGCCCGGGTTTTAAGGGTCAAACTCAGGATCTCTTGTTTTTAAGGCAAGACCTTTTCCAACTGGGCTGCTCCCCAAGCCCAGGAATTCCATTTGTAACCTTCATTTTACAAATGAGCAGATGAAGGCTCCCTGACTTACTCAAGGTCATAGAAGGAAGAAAATTGAGGCAGGATCAAAACCGATGCTGTCTTTGGGCATCGATTTCCCTCTCGGAATGAGAAGAGGGGGCCTGATTCACTCTCCCTCCCACAGCCAGCCCTTCCTCTCTAGAGAAATCTTAGCTTCACAGCTGCCCGCCCACTAGGTCTCTGGAGGGGGGCGTGATTTAGAAGTCAATGCTGCTCATTTCAGGCCTCGTAGCTGCTGGCTAGAATTGATCTTAAGGGAAATCTGCTTTATTGGGAGAGAGGAACACATTATGTTAAATTAGGGGAAATAAAACATATGGAATCGATGAATTCAGGGCAAAGTTGGGAGAAACAGACAGGATGAGGACAATAGTGTATGTCAAGAATGTGGGGAAGGCAGGTTAGGTGCAGCCACCAGGCTTAGGGGAGATGGGACCAAGCAGTCCCTTCCTGGCCTGGCATCAAAGTGAGTGCCTCCAGGCACACAGTAAATATTAAGGAGAGCTGAGGCTCATGCTGCAGGACTCTGGTGTGAGGAATGGGGCACTGGAAGGTATTTGTGCGGTGGACAAAGAGGAGTTCATAAGCAGGGGGCCCTGGGCTGTAATTAGAAGTGACTGTTGTGTGGGTGGTGTCCTCTCTGTGTGCAGCCTGTGTGTACACTCGTCTTTGACACAGTGCTCCTGGCTAAGAGAGGTTAAAGGGGGGCCTAGCTAATCTGAGGCTGTGCTGATAAATGAACCCAGGCCCCTGGGAATCATCTAGGATTGCCATCTGGAACTAGAGAACTGTTCTGGATTCCATGATGAAGAACCCCAAAGCAATTAACTGCAAAGGCAGAACCCACCTTGGGCACCAATTGAAGATCTGAATTCAGAATCTTTTTTGCCTTTCTTGCCCTCTCTGTCTCTCCATGTCCCCCCACCTCCACCCCTAACAATGTTTTCCCTCTGTAACCCAAGCTGGCCTTGAACTCATGGCCATCCTTCTATTTCAGCCTTCCAAGTGCTGGGATTCCAGCTTTGAGCCACCCCACCAGGCTTGCTCTCTATTTCTTTGCTTCAAAGCTAGCCCTCTCAATTTCAACTCAGAAAGAGCCACTCAGCTCCCCCGCTGAAGGGGGCAGCTCTCCCTCGCCAGGCAGGCAAGTAATGCATTCAGTTGAAATCCTGTATGCTCTGTGGGGTGGTTCCGCTTCTCATCATTCGGTAGTGAGACAACCCGAGCCTGTGGAAATACACCCAAGTGGTGTCCACCAATTTGTCAGAGATTTCTATCTCAACAATTGGTCCTTGGAACCCTGGCATCCCTCCACTCTCAGGGATGAGGAATATGTGGTCAGAAGAGTCCTTTTGTGTGTGGTGGGCGGGGGATGCTACGCTCTTGTGTAACACTTGATCACCATTTTCTTACTATGGGTCTCTTCACCGTCAGAGAGAGGATGCCCTGGTCCATTGAGCAGGTGAGGACATGAAGTGGTCGGGTGGTTTGGTCTAGCACGTGCTATCAGGAGGAGATGGGTGAACTCGGATCCACCCAAGAAGCGTGCCTCCACATGGTATTGTCTCTGTGTTGAAGGATGAATTTCGGTAGCTCCATTGCGTTGTTAACTCTGGGCAAGTGTCCCTCTCAAGGGACTCCCAAAACAACAGAAAATCACTTAGGGGGGTGTTTGGAGACAGGGTTTCTCTGTGTTTCCCTGGCTATCCTGGAGCTTTCTCTCTAGACCAGACTGGCCTTGAAGTCAGAGATTTGCCTGCCTCTGCCTCCCCAGTGCTGTGATTAAAGGTGTGTACCACACCGCCTAGCTATGAAATCAATTTTAAAAACTAAAGACCTTCATAAAATCATGTATTTTGAGATGGATTAAGAAAATGAAAGCTAATGTGCAAACAGCCAGTAGAGCGAGTAGAAACTGTCCCCAGATTCCCTCCCTGCCAATGCATGAGGGACCCTCTTCCCAGAATGCTACACAGTTCAGTCTCCCCCAGTTCTCTGACTTTAGCCAGAAGTCAGGGTCCTAGGTGCCTGACAGCCCTGGATGACTCCTTGCTGGTGGTGGAAGTGTTGGGGACCGGACTTCTAGTGTCCCCAGGGATCAGAGCATCCCAGTCTAGGATGGGACACTCGGGGTCAACCTTCAATCCTGCTTCCTCCCCAGCCTCTCACCTGTCCCCACTCACCAGCCAGCAGCAGCAGTCCACACAGCAGGGCAAGTCTCATGGTTCCAGCACAAAGCAAGGCCAGCAGCTATTAGAAGTCCCCTGCCACGTAGGCAGTCCCCTTATATCAGGGGCCCCCATCCATACTACCCAACCCTTCCCAGTTCCTGCAGAATTGACCCACGTGCCTCCCTCTTCCTCTTTTCTATGACTCTGGCATTGTATTTCTTTCTCTTTTTTTGATATATTGGGGTCCCCACCAGATTTTTGATAAAAAGGAAACATGTATCTAGAATGAGAGATTTGGCAAGCACCTTCAAGGTCAAGAGGATGGAACGCAAGGCCACCAACAAGCTAGGTAAGAATTCTGTCATTGAGCCCCAGCCCCAGTCCCACAGCCCAAGATCTGAAAAACACACAACCTGAAATGTAGGATCATCTGCAAAAACAGAAAGTGTGATTATCATTTTGGCTTATGCCCTTTTGTTAGTTATCTATGTGTCTATGTATGTATGTATGCATGTATATATGTATGTATGTATGTGTCTATCATCAATCATCTATCATCAATAATCTATTATCCATCTAATATCATAAATCTAATATAAAAATCATATCATAAATATCAACAATCTATCATCTGCCATCTTTTATCTGTCTGCCTATCTATTTCCAATCAATCTAACATTTACCATCTTTCTAATCTATCATCTCTCATTCTATCTACTTATCTACTATCCACTGCCACATGCTTATGCATGTACTTTTTATTTTTCTGCTTCCATATTATCACTTTACCAAACTAGGAAAACGTTACATGTGGTACTTTGTAGTTAGTTCCCTAACTCACCACAGAGAAGGCCTCATGTAACCCAGGCTGGCCTCAAAGTCTTCATTTAGTCAAAGATGACTTTGAGTTTCCTGTCCTGCTCTACCTCCCAAGTTCTAGAATTGCAGCTGTGTGCCATCGTGCCCAGTTTGTGTGGTGCCAGGCTTGGCACCCAGGGCCTCGTGCATCCGAGGCCAGCACTCAGCCGGTTGAGCCCCAGCCCAGCCTTAGTCTTTTCTTTCACTTAAGAGACCATGTTAAGTGTGGTAAGTGTTCTCTAGCAGTGGTTTTGGGACCTCATGATTTGCCACTTTGCCTACTTTACCACTGTACTATCTGCATAGTGAGTCTCTCACAGACGGATACACAGGCTGCTGACCTTTTTTCTTTCCCATTCAAGTTCAACAAAAGAAATGTCCCGATATCCCAGTCGATACCCAACTATCGCCTTACGAGGGCTTGCTGACTCAAAGAACACCCACGATTAGAGGCCAATTGACCTGTGTTGACAACTGAGCCTGCTAATAATCTGCCCCAATTTACTCGAGAGAATCCCTATGTGACAAATGGCTGGGACCTAGCCAATGAGGGCGGAGCTGTTGCTTGAAGTACACATCCAGGGACCTTGTCCATCAACAGTAGATGGGCTCTTCCATGCTTGTAGGTTATTGCTGGGGATGTAATGCCTAGACTGACCTCCTTGCTCCTGGCCAATCAATTCATTCTAAAATTCTGAAAGCAGGTTCCTCCCTCCCTCCCACCCTCCCTCCCTCCCTTCTTCCTTCCCTCTCTCCTTCACTCTCTTCTTCCTTCCTTCCTTCCTTCCTTCCTTCCTTCCTTCCTTCCTTTGTTTTAGGTAAAGTCTCATTCTGTGTCCCAGTCTGGTTTCAAAGTTACAGCTTCTCTGCCTCCATCTCAGGAGTGTTAGGACTACAGAACGCTCCACTGGTTGCCCCTTTGTTTCTTGACCCAATCAACAAACTAAAATTCATTTGTGACAAAGCCATGTGCACGCGGAAGTAATGACCCTCTGGGCCTGGTGGCTTATGCAGCTTATCCCAGAACTTGGGTGTCTGAGGCAGGAGGATGGCTGCAAGTCCAAAGCCAATCTGTACTTCGTAGAGAGCGCAAGACTGTTGGGCCACCAAAAATTTTCTTGAAGGCAGAGCAAAATAAAACAAAATTTCCTCATGCAATAATAATTTTTAAAAAGGAGAAAAACACTCAACAGCAGACAAACTATAGGCTTCTGGCATATTCTTATCTGTACAAGCCACTTAGTGGACTGATTGTCATTCAGTAAATTATAAGAAACTTGATGGGTGTGGGGATGAGTGCTTCTGTGAAACTGTCACCCTGGTGGAAGCTGCAGACATGCCCATGGCCTCCAGCGTTTCCTGTGACTGGCTGGTTCATGTCAGGCCTCCACCTGCTCAATACTAGACCCGAATTCCTTCTCACGTGCCTCTTTAACCGAAAGCAACCTTCTAGATTGGGGTTCTCGATAGGGCCTGTGGTTACCACCCCCATCTGACTTGTCTTGGGCAGGTGGCACAGTAGTTCTCTGTTGGTCCCAGAAGGCCTCAAACAGACATTCAAAACTCCTGCCTCACTCTTGTCCCTGACACATTTAGCAGAGTCAGGGCACACCTGGCAGAGAGACCGCGATCAGGTTCTAGCTCTTTCTTTTGCCAGCTCTGGGTCCCTGGGAAAAGATTTTTGCCACCATGAAACTTGGTGTCCTCATTTGCAAACCTGGGCCAAGGTTCCTCCTTTTTGTGATTGCTGGGAGATTCTGAGGGGAGCTGTGGTCACAGCACACCACACTTTGTCCCCCAGTGAAGGATGCCTCGACAGCAAGCCATGCATGGGTAGTAGTGGACATGGAGTGGGAGAGGGCTCAAGGGACAGGGTTTATTAAAATGTAGGCTACCCACCCGGGTTAAGAAGCCTAGCCTTCCCGTTGTTCCAGCAGATCAAACTGGAGCAGGTCAATTCTCTCTGCCCCTTCCATTAGTCCTGTGTGAGATAGCTTGACAATGGTATCCACGGAATATGAACATTGCAAGGCATAGAGTCCGTGTATGTCATAGTCTAGAAAGTATTCGCATGCACCCTCATCAGCCCGGACTTGGCCCTCTTAAGGCAATATTGAGAAACAAGGGGCCTTTTTGGTGCACACCTGTAATCTCAGGACCAGGGAGGCAGAGGCAGGAGGCTTAATGTAAGTTTGAGGCCAGTCTAGTCTATATAACAAGATCTAAGCTAGCATGGGCTATATAGCAAGATCAATTTAAAAAACAAAACAAAAAAAGATATAAATCCTAGTGGGAGGACATTATTGCCACTCCCCTCTCTGGCTGCCCGTCTTGCTGAGTGATCTCTCCCTCTCACAGGTACTACTCCACACTCCTTCACAGCACCAATAACTGAGGCGTGACCCAGCCAAGAAGACCTTCACCATAAAACAATCTGCAGAGCCACCTAGTCTTGGACCTTTAGTCTTCTGAAATGGGAGCCACACTCACCTCTCTTTATAAAGGGTCCAGCCTCAGGTCTTTAATTATAGTCATAACAAATAAACTAATCTGGGACATGAACAGGCTTTGGTCCACAGCTAGAGGTGAATCAATGTTAGCTGAGGTTATCTCCCCATCAGCATCATCTTCTTCATCTTCATCCTCACTGCTTAAGGTACCCAGAATGAACACTGTGTTGTCTAATCTACTGTTAATCTTTTCTGATGTCTGTCTTAGTTCAATACATTCTTCTCTATATATAAATTGATCCGGGTCTATTTTTTATACCTTCCGTGGTTTTCACCATGTTTGAGCTTTCTTTTATCTTTAGAAGCAGACAGGGTTTAGTTAGAAACCCCAGTCCTACCATCTGGACCATTTCACTGGCTTTTTCTGTTGTTTAATGGTTTCTATAGAGCAGAGTTTCAGAAGTGAGTTGGGAGAATGAGAATGTATGAAGGTTTCAGTGAGAACCTGTGTGATTTTAGCAACCCCTCCCACCACTTCTGCTCCAGCCGAAGTGCCCTTGGGTGTTTCTGACACTGTCAAACGTCCCTAGCTTGCTTCCCTGGTCACAGCCTGAAAGACTTTTCTAAGACTGTTAGAGCAGGGCCCAGCACACACCCCAGCTGGTGGGTGGAAGGGAAAAGGAAGGCCTTGAATGTCACAGACAAGATTCTACCACAACAGTTACCAGCATGGGCTGTGAGGCGGCTCCATCATGAAAAGGTTTGTCATCAAAGCATGGGAATTTGGGTTTAATCCCCAAACGCCCATGTTAAAAAGTTAGGCGTGGTGCGCACCTGTAGTGCTAGCGCCAGGGAGATGGGAACAGAAGGATCCCTGGGCTTGTCAGCGAGCCAACTTAGCACAAAATGGAGATGCAGGTCCAGTGAGAGATGCTATCTCAAAAGAAGAGGTAGAGAGAGACTGAAGAAGGTCCCCGATGTCACATGCTAGCTCCATACACATGCATGTATGTGCACACATGCATGAACTTGTAATACACACAAAATGAAAAAAATATAGAAAAATGTTACCCTTGTCCAGGCCTTCCTTTTCACCAAGCACTGTATTGTTACCTAATTAACTCTTACAACCACAGCAGGAAAGAGAGACTATTATTCCCATTTCACAAACAGGGAGACTGAGACTCAGAGAGGTTAGGAACTATGCACAGTCACCAAGAAAGTACACGGCAGAGCTGGGGTGAGCACACAAGTCTGCCAGGGACCCCTTAAGATGGCTGTAGAGCATGATTTAACAGGTCTTACAGGAGTGTAGGCATGCATCACAGCACGGAGGAGCCCCCTGACCCTCCCAGCATGCACAGGGGTGGAAACAGGAAGAGCCAGCAGAGCCAGGATGATGCTACCTCCAAACACTGCAGCAGAGTAAAGGGACCTCTCCTAAGATCCTCCCATGGGATGAAGTCATATCTTCTAGCCAGGATTAGGGGCTTTTCCTCCAGGAATTCCCTGCATAGTTCAATTTGCCAGTCAGTCTCACTGACTTGATCTGTCCCCAACTAAAGGCTCTCAGAGACACACAGCAGTCACAAACACCATAGAGGACACTGCAGTCAGGTTCCCAGGGGTGGGGCCGCGCTCAGATGAGCGAGGCCGAGTGTGTCTTTGGTGGTAGTGTGATGGCATCATCCATCCACACCAAGCAGAACCAAAGAAATGGGTCAAACCACAGGAGCCACTCTCACGGCTGTGCCTGCAG